TCGGAAAATTTGAAAAAATAGTGAAGACGAGCGAAAAAATTTTAAAAGTTTGAATTCGCGCGCTTTTACTCACCGGGTGGCCTAGAAAAAACCTAGTCCCTAAGGACTTTCAGAGTATTTTTATTTTTCTTATTTCCTCGATGAAGGAATTTTTTTGAATTTTTTCTTTATTTTTATGTCAATCTACATGCATTTCTGCACATTTTGATGCAATAAAAAATTTCACCGTACACCACCTTTAAAATCGAAAGTCGCAGCATAATTCGCTTTTTCTAGGAATGGCCATACCGCTCTCCAATCTTCTAATCGAAACCTAGGTGTCTCAATTCCCTTGTTTAGCGCTGATAAGTCTAAAATCAATCTTAACTTCTTCCCATTATCCGCTACTTGAAGTGGACTACATACTATCGGATTGATTGTTTCCACCAGTACTCCTGCTTCCAATAATTTCCCCACTTCTTCATGAACGAAATCTAACAATCTGTTTGACATTCTTCTTATCCCCAGAGGATGTGGTAATTTGAAATTCTCAATTAATATAATCTCAAAACCTCTTTCTACTACTTCTAAAATCCACGGACTAACTGGTATACTAGCCCAAAATTTGGCTTTACTAGACATTAAATTTGGATTAACCATACCTTGGTTTCGCACATTGATTGGCGTAATGTCCTCCTTCTCCACAATTGTAACAGTGGATAACCGCTCGTTTTGTAGGATGAGCTCCCAAACCGTCTGCTTCGTGCATTCTTCGGAAGGGTCTTGGCAGGTAATGGTGTTGAGGGGCTGCGAATTGCCGGACTTCAGGGCGCCGTCCCCCGAAGTCCGAATATCGAAACAACTGCCTCGATGGGCCTGGTCTTCTCGAATCACTCGGTTCTTCTCTAGCGAGAATCGACGCCAATGCCAAAAGCTTCGTGTCACTTGAATCCGATGTTCCCGTCAACTCCGAAATTGCACGCATACTTTCGACCTGTTTGAGAGCTGCTGGATTTCTGTCTAGCAACACAATCTCCTGATTTCGTTTCCGCGCCAAAACACCACGCCGCACTTGCAAAGCGATGGGCGGAGCGTCGGTGGGGGGAGGCGGGAATCAAAGTACGCAAACACCGAGTCTCACTTTTTTTATTCCGACAATAATCCCAGAGAAAACAAACAATTCTCCCAATCGCCACCACAAATCATCGCATTTGATCTACCTTGATTCTTCTCGAGATTCTCTTTTTTTTTGTCTGTAATTCCACAAATTCATCCATTCAATATCATTCATTCTTTTCTTTCATACACAAATAAATTCACACGAATATTTACAGTTAAATAATAAAAAATTCCAGAGAAAATGTAATAATTTAGCTTCTCAATTTGGCCAATTTCGCTTCGAGATCCTCCAAGTCGTCGGGTGTCGAGGCGCTGGCGGCGCCGACACGAGTCGGGATGGTTGGCACGTTGGCGAGCTGAAAAAGATGAAAATCGGTGCAAAAATGAGTGAAAATTAACAACAATTGGCCCAAAAAAGCCGAAATTCGGTTAAAACTGCCCCAAATTTTCCCCTTAGTGTCAATCTGTGTGTCCAGATGTCTTACCTTTGAATTCATCTCAATGCCAATCTCATCGAGAACCTGAGCCACAATTGCGTCTTGCTCATCGGCGTCGCCTGGAGCGTCGAGAATCGAGTCCAGCGTGTCGTTCATCATCTGGAAAATGTTGAAATTTCCGATGATTTTCAGCGCATTTTCGAAAATTTCGAATTTCGGTTTTTTACCGATTTTCGGCTGATTTCCGGAGGTTCCAATTTTTCGATTTTCGGCAAATTTTTGTACTGTCTATCAAATTAAAACGTGG